CACATTTATTTTGTGTCAGAAACTTATATTATGTCAAAAATTTTATCACAATCCAAATTCAGACAGTATCAAGCTTGAATATTGTGTCCAAATTTGCCCCAACTGTTCAGGGTTCGACCTCTGCAGTCGTATCAGGCTGCACTCAGCGAAGCATTTTATTGGTTATTATCTTGAATATTATTATAGATATAGAATAATGTTCAGCAAAGTAAGATCTACAAATAAGTCAACATCACCAAAATGGTCAATTGACCCCTTAAGGAGTTATTGCCCTTTATAGTAAATTTTTAACAATTTTTCGTAAATTTTTGTTATCTTTTACAAAAATCTTCTCCTCTAAAAGTACATAGACAAATTCAACCAAACTTGACCACGTTCATCATAAGGGTATATGATTAAAAAAATGTGTCCGATGACCCCGCTTGCCAACCAACATGGCCGACATGGCTAAAAATAGAACATAGGGGTAAAATGCAGTTTTTGGCTTATATCTCTGAACTAAAGCATTTAGAGCAAATCTGACTATGGGTAAAAATGTTCATCAGGTTAAAATCTATCTGCCCTGAAAGGAGTAGGGGCAATAAGGCCCTTATTTGGCCCAAATATTACTGCAAATTTAAAAGTTATCATACATTTTCCTAAATGTGTCCTAACTAGACTAAGGAACAAGGTATTCAGAAAATAAAATCAAAATTTCTCATTAAACCAGTTACCATGGCAACAAACCATGACAAAATTTGTATATGTTATTAAATTTCTTGATTTTCCTTGTTTTTCATCAAATTTTAAGTATAATTTAGATTGGCAAAGTAAGTGCGCACCCAACAATGCCCAAGAAACAACTTGATATTTGGTGAAATCATGTCAATAGTTATAATAAAGCATCTCTTTAAAATATCTTGTTGTTTCTTGGCTGCGCACGAAGTTTCCATAATTGAAATGATGATTAAAAACTGCAAAAATATGTATTTTCATCGTTTTCATGAAAATGGTGCATATTATGGCGTAGTTGTGACGTCATCAGATAAAGAATCTTATGTTTTTCATTTATATTTCTTCACTCTTTTCACTTCCAAGCATCATGTGCCAATTTGAAATAGTTTTCCAACATTTTATTTTTCTTGGGCCAAAACCGGGCCTCAATGCCCCTACTCCTTTTCAGAGGAATCAGACAACCCGTTGATTGGTTGCTGCCCCTGAATTGGTAATTTTAAGGAAATTTTGCAGTTTTTGGTTATTTTCATGAATATTATTATAGATAGAGATAAACTGTAAACAGCAATAATGTTCAGCCGAGTAAGATCTACAAATAAGTCAACATGACCAAAACTGTCAATTGACCCCCTAAGGAGTTATCGCCCTTCAAAGTAAATTTTTAACAAATTTTTGTAAATTTTTGTAATCTTTTACAAAAATCTTCCCCTCTGAAACTGCTGAGACGAATTTAACCAAACTTGGCCACAATTATCATTAGGGTATCTAGTTTTAAAAAAAGTGTCCGATGACCCCGCCTACCAACCAACATGGCCGACATGGCTTAAAAAAGAACATAGGGATGAAATGCAGTTTTTGGCTTATATCTCTGAAACTAAAGCATAAGTATAATGATTGCATTATTTCAAGCATCAATTGTAAACAAAAATAGCAGGTGAGCGACACAGGCTCCTTGGAGCCTCTAGTTTACTACAAGCAGTTGAAGCCAATACAATTTATAAATCGTATATTCGTACTAGTATGCTATCGCTTCCAATAGGTGCATTCTTCATTGTGTAAATATTATAATTTTAACATTACACAAATAAAAGTTCTGATTCAATCGTTCAGTTACAGCTTGTCACATTCTTTATCACATTGGAAACTGAACACTTGCATATACCAAAATAATAAGAAATTACCCTCATAGATTCATGTTTGCTAGATAACACAGAAAAATTAAAAGTTGTTTGCTGGTAGTATTGGCATTGTGCCATCACAGCCTTGTGTCGAGATCAGCTTGTAAAATCATGAGAAGTTCTTTGAAAGTAGTTTTTTTATGCCCCACGTAGGGGCATGATATTTTTCGGTCTGTGCGTCCGTTCATTCATCCGTCTGTCCTGCTTCAGGTTAAAGTTTTTGGTCAAGGTAGTTTTTGTTGGAGTTGAAGTCCAATCAACTTGACACTTAGTACACATGTTTCCTATGATATGACCTTTTTAATTTTAATGCCAGATTAGATTGATTGATTGATTGTTGGTTGCTTAACGTCCAGTGGCAAATATTTCATGCATATTCAGGACAAGAACAAATTAACAATAAATACAATAGGTAGGTTCTGTAATAGGGGCGTCCGGGATTAAGGTCGGAGAAATTTAGACTGCCTCGGGAAATGAGGGTATATTGGATAGGGACAGAAATTTAGCCTTGCAACAGGTCACCTATGGACCCCTCAAAGAGTTGTTGCAAGGGTTCTTAACGTGCAAAGAGCGTGCCACTCTCTTTACACGAGGCATCGGATTTAACGTCCCCATTCTGACCGGACGTGGCTGCAAATTTGTACATCCCGCACAGCCAAACGGACGCCCCACTTTAGCAAGGGTTTTACTGCCGATTGGAGGAAGACCAATGGTGACCATACTTCTATTCCCCAGTCACCCTTGGGGGGGGGGGGGGGGGGGGGGGGGCCAGATTAGAGTTTTGACCCCAATTTCACAGTCCACTGAACAAAGAAAATGATAGTGCGAGTGGGGTATCCGTGTTCTATGGACACATTCTTGTTCGATACATAAATCTGTGTTGAAGTCATCATGAGTATAGTTCTTAACAACACTTTTAGCATACCACGTTTCTCTCTTTTCATACAAAAAGGTGAGCATATCACCCCTGTTTAGTATCTGTGTCATTGATATTTGCCGAAAACATTGGTATGCATTTTGTATTGGGAATAACATAAATTATATCCCCACCATACATGCCATATTGGAATTAACTCTTTAGTAGAGTTTATAATTTGTGTGAAAGGCTACCCGAATACTTACTCGATTAAATACACTGGTTTGCAGACATCATAATAATATCATACGGTCTGCACTTTTCTTACTATATTAGGGTTAACGTCTTATTTGATCCAATTTGACAATGTTGATCAAATAGAACATAAAGACAAACAGCAAGTTTTAAAACTTATATTTCTAAAATCATAATTGAGAACATCTGACAGGGACAAAATGATCAGAAGTCCAAAATATACTGATCAAATAAACTTTGTAGGAGTATTGTCTTAAATGATGGTATTTCACTTAGTCTGTTTATGTAAACTACTGTTAATGCAGAAATTATTGCGTGCATTTGTTATTGTGATTTTGACATGATAGACCAAAATGTGAGAATATTTTTTGGGGATAACAGGAAAAGCTGCATACAAATATATGTGTCAGATTTCAGAGTGCGAGATCTTATTAATTTGGTACTCACCTAGTCATATTATTCATAATAAGTTCTGAATTTACAGTAATACAATAATCACCAGAACTTGTTTCATATGACTTGAACGCATAGCATGATTGTATGTTTTGTAGATACATTGTATAACAAAAATGCTTTAAATGACAGAGACGACTCAATTATTCAAGTAAAGCCTCTATACACTTTTCTTCTTTAACTTATTAAAAAAAACCCAGAAAAACAATAATTTTGCAATTTATTGTCCTTCAATGATGCCTTTTTGCAACTGGATCGATATGTTATGTAAACAAGCGTAGATGTTATTAAATGAACAACACATGCAACACAAAAAATAATTTGACAAGGAACAATGCACTTTCAGTTTGAAATTAAAATCAAATTAAGACAAGAACTTCAGTTTGAGCTATTACTACATTTACTGAATTATTGTTCTTTACTTCCTTTGTACTTTTTCATTTCTGCTGGATCTGAACTCGAGTTGCAAGGTTATCAATCTGAGATGAATTATCTCAATAGCTGAACTAGACTAAAATTTGTTTTGAAAAATCTAATACATAATGTACTACAGTTACACTTTCTTTTGCAGATATATTATTAAAAAAAAACAAAATAATAAAGATCATTTGTTTAACAATTTCAGTAGAAACACCAGAAGGCGTATTTACTTCATATTTGTTATATATATTCATTGCAACAACAAAAATGAAAACAACATGTTATTTATTTCATGTGTCCGAAGCGCTTTTCTTGATTTACCTTCATCAGGAACGTTCAAAGCCGAATATTTTAAAGCCAAGAATGTATAAGAACCAAAACAATTGAAGAGCTATATAACCAAAAAGTACCTAAAACATAGCCATTTCCATCCAAGGTCAACTTTGCCTGAGGGCAAAGACACTCTAATTGCAAATACTATTTCAATATGTAATAGAACATTTTTTTTTTTATGCTATTTGATATCTGTAATCATGGTAATTTCAATTTCCATATTTGTTTGTATTGAAAGAAGTTATAAGAAATAAACGATGAGAAACCCTGACAATTTAAAGATCTTTAATGTTTTCTTCTTATTAATTAAAAGTTTTGAATAGAAAACGAACATAAAAGAAAATCATTTTTTGTGGAAAGAACACAACTTAAGGAAAAAAAAATTATGATTGAATTAACATGTTCCTTAAGGCCAAAATACAACATTTCGATAACTTCTGGTTTTTACGTAAGGAAACTGTTTATCCAAATTAAATGCATTAGGAAAATTTGTCAAAAAGGTATGGCTATTGTTCTATTTGCTCAAAAGTGAATTTCAAAAGACATTTCACTGAGTAGTTTACTTTAATTGGTTTCATTTAAGCCCTCTGGTTAATCTGTTTGCAGTGAGCTAATAAGATATATACAGAAAAAACGGTTCATCACCTGAATTAGGGTCATAGTTACTGTAAAGAGTTCAAATTGTTGTATTAAGTAATTGCTTTGTTATAATTAGTGTCCTTGCAATTTCTTGTAGATGTTGAATTTACAATAGTAATCATTATTTTTAATTATTATTTTTCATTTAATAGAAACAAAAGCAGTGTGATCTGGATTGTACAGGTATAGTTATGTGTTTTTGTATTTTACTATTTTTTTCATGGATAAAATAATACTCCAAGTTAAGAATGAATCAACATGGCATCTCAGTGATTTTTCCTTATCTGTCTGAATTAAACAAACCACTAACGGTGTCAACCCCCATGCATACCTTAGCGGTATATGACACAATCTATTAAAATTTTCGGTTGTCATGCTCTTTGAGTTTCGTATTTAACTTTGTTTATTATTTAACTGTTTTGATTTCAGTGCAATATTTGACATTGATTTAGACTAAATGTGATTCCCCATTCACAGGGCACCTACATCTTTTCATTACACAGTGCATGTTCTACAAAAATGGGAATGATATATATAAATTCCTTGTTTTTGTAATTAAAAATCTTACTTGTGAAGAATTGCTAGCTGTGATTCCAACAATAAGTACATCTATTAGTTGACATCATAATGCTTAACATATACATATAGACTATGCCCCCAGAGGCTTATGTGGCAGGGATCAATAAAACTTATTTTGGATTCATATTTAAACAGACTCGGTATTCCTATTGATTCTTAGTGTGCATCTTTACATTTGTCATTTCATGGCCTTTTATAGCTGACTATGCGGTATGGGCTTTGCTCATTGTTGAATGCCGTACGGTGGCCTATAGTTGTTAATTTCTTTGTCAATTGGTCTCTTGTGAAGAGTTGTCTCATTGGCAATCATACCACATCTTCTTTTTTATATTCCTACAGGCCGATTTGTTATTGTAATCATCATGATCATATGAAACAGAATTCAAACAACTTATTTCAAAGACAAAAAGAAAATCATCTTGCAATGTTCATTTATTTGCCTTTCAGATATATGGATGATGTCCAGTCACTCAGTAACTACATTTCAGTGAGTGCTTGCATCTCACATATCCAAATGAACTTGAAATCAAAATTATAACGAAAGTTGTAGATCTGCTTTACATCTTGATATTTTCCTGAATATTGGCCAAAAATGGCAACTTCTGAACTAAAATCTATAACAAATTTGAAATAGGCTACTTTGAATGTTTTAGCTGTTACAAATACACTTTGCCCAATTATATGACGTTCACATTTCTGAATTATTACGTTGCGTTTGTTACGTTGCCACTGTGTGGACATCCTCGCCCAAAAAGTGCTTGAAGAGAGAGGAAGTACAACTAAAGTGGACACTTCATTAGTTTTTTGATGACCATCACAAATTGGTTGACGGATAAAATATGTCTTTATCTATATATACTCACTAGGAAAATGTTTTTGCAGTTAAAGATCTTTTGATACCAGAATAGAAGAGGGACGAAAGATACCAGAGGGACTGTCAAACTCATAGATCGAAAACAAACTGGCAACGCCATGGCCAAAAATGAAAAGACAAACAGACAAATAATAGTACAGATGACACAACATAGAAAACTAAAGACTAAGCAACACGAACCCCACCAAAAACTGGGGGTGATCTCAGGTGCTCCGGAAGGGTAAGCAGATCCTGCTCCACATGTGGCACCCGTCATGTTGCTTATGTAATAGTCGTCAATTGTGACATTTTGACTGAGTGTGGATTCACATGGTAGATGATACATATATAACAGGTGACGCTTGGCTATTGACGCACCCTATATGTCTGCTGGTGGACTGTTGGTCAAAAATGGTATTATCGGCTCAGTAGTCAGTGCTTTGTTACTTACATGATTTTTTACCAACATCATCAGACGCATGAAATTTATCAACTGTTAAAGTAATTTCCATTCGTTCCTCTACTTTGTTTTTAATCAGTAGATATGATGATCTTCTCATCCTGTAAAGGATGTATTTTCGCAAAATACATTGGAGGGAACCAGAAAGAAGCTTTCTTCTGAGAAACCTGTCTTATTTATGAAATAAATTTCTGCTTTAAATGAGAGTTAACAGTTGATTGCCGGTGTTGAGTTCTAGGGAAAAAATCGCAGACACTCAAAGTGGAACAAAACTAGATGTGTGAAAAGAGAAAGCGTCTCCTACTATTTATGCATAATTGACCAGTCAACATTTCACAATAGATTAGGAAACAATCGGTAATTTACAGTTCAGAAAACTTATCTTGATTTTAAATATGTAATTCCGTGCAAATAAGTCTCCTGTTATTAGCAACACAGACACTTCCTGGTTATCAACAAACTTTGTAATGGTGACTTGATCTTGTAATTTGTAAACCATTTTGTACTATAGAAAGAATAGTAATAAGATTTAGTTGAATATTTAGGGGAGTGGGTTATATGTATAGCTCTTTATTATGATTTATGAACAGTTAGCTTAAGTTAGTATTAAGTATGATATTTTTAAGGCCTCCACCGTAGCGGAGGGGGCATTAAGTTTTACCCTTGTCCGTCTGTACGACCGTCCGTCCATACGTTGGTTCTCTAACTTTAGTTTGCTTTAACCAAATGTGATGAAACTTATACAAAATGCTTATTACTACAAAACACAGATCAAGTTTGAATTTTGGTGGCGTCACTTTTACCATTATAGAGTTATGCCCTTTACAAATGGAAAAATTGCTGAATTTTTTGTTTCAATTCTCTAACTTAAGTTTGCCTCAACCAAATGTCATGAAACATATACACAATGCTTATTACCACAAAACTCAGATCAAGTATGAATTTGGGTTGCGTCACTTTTATCATTCTGGAGTTATGTCCCTTTATAACATTATATGCATTTGGGGGCATCATCTGTGTCCCATGGACACATTCCCCATTTATTTTTATCTCCCTTAATTTTCTCTGAAAAAGCCTGTACCAAGTCTGTTTTCAATATTTCCCGTTGGTTGATATAGTTTAACATTTTATTTTGTCAGGTTTTAGGGACTACACACCTTTTAGATTTTACCTCAGGATTCTTGTTAGTAATTTTGTATTGTAAGGATTTCTAAAGAATGATATTTTTTTTACTTATGTTTTTTAAAATGACTAAAATGTATTGATGGTTTACAGTTTTTACCGTGAAATAATTTTGCCCCTGATTGGAGAATTTTGAACAAATATTTCACTCTACCAGAAACATATATATATATACATACAGAGATTGGCAACCTATCGATACGGCTATAACCGAGCTGTCAAGATCACGCGTGTGCACGAGATTTCTCGAGACTAGTAAATCTGCCAAGATTTCCCGCCATTTTGTTTATTTACACACAGCTATATCTTACAGAAACAACCTAATAATAATAGAATACAACTTATATCTACATGATTCAGGTAAGAATCAATTAACATAATGTAGGAACATAATTTACTGTTATGTTCAGCTATTCTTAGTAACATTTAATCAATTTAAAGGCAAATTTTTGTCCCGATTCAAGTAGTCCAAATTTCATTGAATTTCAGGTTCATTACTCGATATGGGTCCTGACTTTTGGAACAAATTTCAAGAAAACTAGGCAGTATAATGAAGTTGTAATTGTGGCTAACAATGACATCTTAGGTGTTAAAAACAGTTTCTAATATTTGGACAGGGATTGTCCTGAATTAATGTATCATTGGGTAAAAATGCGACTTGAAATGTCTTGAAATGGCCCCTTGTGGACAGTACTCAGCACAATCTCGACCTACTGAATTCTCACTTGTAATGAAATGCCACCCTAAAACAATTTTTATACGGAATGCTTGACATCATACATTATGAAAAAGACATAAGTCTCTAAAAAATATATTATTCATGGTATATTATCCTCCCTTGTCTTTTTCCACATCTGCCATTGCCTTAAGAACCCTAATACATGTCAGAAAAGCATATTGTTTATCATATTTGTCTTTTTGTTTTATTGCTTTTTACTTAAACATGTTAAATCAGACGGTAACTTTTCTTGTTTGAATTGTTTTACTTCAGAATTTGTCATTTCAGGCCTTTTTTAGCTTATTAAGAACAAGGATGTATAACTAACATATAATATACTTCTTTGCTAAGCAACATTGGTTTTTCTTAGTTTTGAAGGCCATATGGTAACTTCCTGTTGCTATTTTCTAGGTCATTTGGTCTCTAGTGGAGAGTTGTCTTATTGGCAACCATACAACATCTGATGTTATCACTATTTATGGTACCCATCAAATTAACAAATAAATGTTTACATTTGTATATATAGATGAACAAAACTGTAAATGTGGACATGGTCTTGAAAGTACCGTGTAAAGTGCTATATAAATGGAAGATAAATTAGTTTTTAATGATTTAATTTTTTTTTCAGAATGCTGAAAAAAGACCAATTGTCAAGAAGAAGAAAGACTCTTAACTCATTCGCCCCCAAGAGATTTCTGGAAAATCAGGCATTTTCGAAAATTTGCAATCATATGCAAATTATATGCAAATTAGCAGACTCTTGATGCTGTAACTGATGCTCATCTATTAAACTATGTATTGAGATTTGGGGGCGGATGGCATGGGTGGGGGGTGGGGTGGGAGGTGGAATATTTTCTCGTGGGTTTGAACCCACCCCCACTGAAAAATGTAAATTTTCCGTCTATTTTCCGATTTTAAAACGACCTTGAGAGGTGAACATTGACCAGACTGTTTTTCTTTGTCATTCAAGTATTACCCTATAGTTACAGCAGTCCATTCATGATAACTGGGAGTATATTGGACTTAAGTGTCTTGCTGGGGAATTATTATTGTCAAGTCAGGTCTGCCTAAATGTCCGTTTTTACGGATTTTTGACAAAACGGTGACCTAGATTCTACAGACTAGATTCCTATTGGCCATATTATACCTCGTTGTGTTCCTTTACCACCTATGCATGCATTTATGATAATAGTTTATACCTACAGTCACTACCAGTTACGTAGTGGCCATCAAAAGATGCTCACCCCCACCTGATTTTGGCTACTTTTCACGTTTTTCCGATTTTGAACTCTTAAACGGCTTTCAAAGTGCCATATTTTCATGAACAGACATCTGAGAAGAGTTTATGGACCATGAACTGCTTGGTTGAAGTCCCTGCTATCATGACAGTT